GCTCACTATGCGCCTGCTGTACCTGAGGCCTGGCACGTTAGTGTTAAATGCAAGCTCGATGAAGGAAGGGAGAAAGGAGCGGTGGCTTCACTGGGCAGGGAAGGGCCAGCATCTGGCCTCTTCATTGGCAGATCCCTAACCTTCAGCCTGTCTAGATCCTTCGTTTGGGTTAGTTGCCTCAACCACGGAGTCCTGGCTGCCAGTGTTCTTGGAATTGACTGGGAGAAGGTATTTTATCTGATTCTCTTGGATGCAGCAAAGTAGCCCTGTCTTCTGTGCCTGAGACCTTTGGATGAACTCATCCCGGGAGTAGACCAGCAATCGCCTGGTTGTGGAGGCAGAGCAGGCTGGGGAGACCAGGTGACTGCCAGTCACCCCACCCACAGCCTTATGCTCAGAAGGACCCTGCACCTCTGCCTCCTGAGCCCTCTGGGGTTCTGCAGAGTTTATCACAAGGATGTGCTGGTAACAGTTTAATTGGCTCGCCAGGGAGAAAAGCCCTGATTTGCAGTGTTGGCTCATTCCCGGGGTGGAAGTCCTCCCACCGGAGCCGAGCTTAAGCTGTCCTCATGACGTCTCTGAACAGGACTTGGGAAGAAATGAGCAGGAGGCCCCTGGTGTTCCACCTTCTGGACGCAATAGACGTGACTGACTTCAAGAGCATAGATAATAAGACCTAGTTACATAATAGGGAGGTGAAGACTTTTGGACAGCTATTAGCTTTATTAAATACGAGTTAATTGAGGTTTACCTAATTTTTCAATTAGCAATAATCGTACCTCAGATAAACCTCATTGGCTATGATATTGCCACTGCGCAAAGCTAACCTAATTTTTAATAATGGTTCTTTTTAACCAGCTTGGAATTTTCCTAAAAATTTGACCGTCAGCTCTTGTGGGCTGCTATCAGCCGGTTCTAGCATGTGTCCTCTCGCTGTTGGATTCCCTTACTCTTGCAGGCTTTCATTTTTAGGTATCTGGTATTTTCTTTCTACGTCAGTTATCCCTGCTTATTCTAATTTCCAGTTTCTAAAGTTTTGTTGATGGCTCTTTCCCGCTTTTCCTGTTCTCACTGTCCTGTTAGGCTTAAGCCTTCTTGAAAAACATCCATTTACTTCCATTTTGATGGGTTTCCAGAAGATGGTCAAGGTAAATGCAGGTGTGCAAAGTGTTCTGTTTAACTAGAAGTGTCTGCAGTTAGAATCACTTTGAACTTCTTGGACACACATACTTAAAAATGTACCTTTTGACTATATTCTTTGGCTTATATGGTTTCTCTCTTTTTTGTTGACTGTTAAACAGTTGGTAACCTCATATGGCTCATGTGAACTTTTAGTATGAAATTTAATTCATTAATTTTCATTGCTTTACTGTGGTTTTGGTGTGAGAATGGTTTCATTTTAACACCACAGGAGTAACTCTTTTCTTTTAGCTGCCTAGAAGCCACACCTTAAACCATTGTCAAGTTTTAGTTTCAAGGGTCTGTGTTTTAGGTAAAATGAGGTCGTGGTTTTTAAAATCTATCCGTATGTGTTTTATTTTCCTGAGTTTGTCTTTATTCCCAGTGAGTTTATCTGTCTTGAGGCAGAGGGTAGAGGAGGAGGGAATTAGAATTGTTACAGCAGCAAAGAAGGAAATTCGTGTTGAGGTTTTTTTCACTTTGAAGACAAAATAATAGGCTTAAAAGTCACTTACTGTGAAAAAAGGATTTCATCAATTCCTTTATCTCCTCCTGCACTATAACAAGACTTGGACTTCGATTGTAATTGAGACCCTATTACATCTCCATCCTCTCCACAGCTTGGTTGTTCATGTCCTGTTTCCTTTAACAGAAAAATACCCATGTTCTTCCACTACTAAACTAGTTTGAGTTTTCTTTTTATTATTTATTTTTTTATTTTTTAAAGATTTTATTTATTTATTCATGACAGACACACACAGAGGGAGAGAGAGAGAGGCAGAGACACAGGCAGAGGGAGAAGCAGGCTCCATGCAGGGAGCCGGACATGGGACTTGATCCCATCCCGGGTCTCCAGGATCTGGCCCTGGGCTGAAGGAGGCGCTAAACCGCTGAGCTACCAGGGCTGCCCGAGTTTTTTTTTTTTTTTTTTTTTTTTTTTTTTTTTTAATTCAATTTGCCAATAGATAGTATAACACCCAGTGCTCATCCCATCACCCACCCTCCTTCATGCCCGTCACCCAGCTACTCCATCCCCCGCCTACCTCCCCTCCAGCGACCCTCAGTTTGTTTTCCAGAATTAAGAGTCTAGTTTGAATTTGTTACTTGTTTCTAAGAGTTCTAAGTCTTTTCAGCTATGATAATTTTTTTTTAAAGCCTAAACGTTGTGGGTCTCCGTTCCACAGGATAGCTGTTTTATTAGCAGTATCTTGACTGAGAAAAATCTAGCTTAATAGCTAGATGGGCAAAAAGATATAATGAATTCAGTAATGCTTATGAATGAACTTTATTCATTGCATCAACATGTATATATACAGTATTTGTACAATAGGAGTGCCTGCATGATTAAGCCACTGTTTATTCAGTGTATAAATGATGCTTGGGGACCATACAAATTTTTAGATTCTTTGAAATAACTCCGAGCTTCACCTGCCTGTTGCCAGACCCAAAGACGCTTCGCGGGTTGGCAACCACTGCTTTAGATTACCTTCTCCCCAAAACCCTTCCCACTGGAGCTGAAATGAGCTCCTTCTTGCCTTTCTCCAAGACCACATTAAATTTATTCCAGCTTCTAAGGACCTCTTAACTCCATCCTGCTCTTCTACACCTACTGCCACGGCACCTGTCCAGGCCCTGCTTGCCCTCCCGGACCCCGATGCAACAGACGGTCTGTCTGGTCTCTTCTACTGTCTGTTCCCCTCCGATATGTACTCGGTAGGGCAGGTTTTTCATATTGTGTCCTTCCCTTGCCAGCAGGCTGCCACTCCTGTGTCCCGTCATAACAGCTGGGATACCTTTGTTTCAGTCCTACTTACCTGTTTGTGTCCTGCAAACATGTCCTGTGCCTTTTGCTTATGAGCTTTTGTTTGAACCAGTTCTTTTGGCTTTCCCTATACATGGCAAGCTCATGCCCCACTCAGAGATGACCTACGAGATTTTAAGCAATCCCCACGAGCCTCCTGCTCAGTGGTAGCTGCACCTGTTCCTGGTCTTCTGTAAGCGCTTTGATGCAGACGTTGGTGATGGACATCACACTGTGGACACCATGGGGAAAGGAACATTTGTTAATTTTTTTTTTAAATTTATTTATGATAGTCACAGAGAGAGAGAGGGAGAGAGGCAGAGACACAGGCAGAGGGAGAAGCAGGCTCCATGCACCGGAAGCCCGACGTGGGATTCGATCCTGGGTCTCCAGGATCACGCCCTGGGCCAAAGGCAGGCGCTAAACTGCTGCGCCACCCAGGGATCCCGGGAAAGGAACATTTGTATCTCTCCAAGCACCTTAGACAGGGCCTGGTACATGCTAGAGGCCCAATCAATGTCTACTGAACAGATTGATGTGGATTGGTCTGTTTATGAGTAGTCTTGAAGACTAGTTCCTGAGTAGGATTCAAAGTATTTTATTATAAAGCCATGGAAATGGAACAAGAAAAATATGTGAAAATTATTTTCCTGATTGTTTTTTTTCCCATTTTAGTCTCGACATTTTTTTTCTCCCAAATAAGTGAGACTTTATTTCCTCTTTCTGATTGCAAAAGCAACACATGGCCTAAGATTTACATGTATGTCACACAGGCTTGAGGTCAGATTTTGCTACTCAGTGGCTGTGTTGCTTGTACACAGTACTTGCTCTCTGTATACCTTAGTTCTCTCACCTGAATATGGAGATCATTGGAATAGTTCTCCCTAAGAGTGTCATGAAGAGGACATTAGAAAGTGTATGTAAAGTGGTTAGCGCAGTATCCGGCACACAGTTGCTCCATAAATGTGCACAGCTGAAATTACGGTCCATGCGGAAAAGGTAAAGTTCTGTGAGACCAGGGATACAGCTGGAGCCTTGGGCTCAGGACCTTCACTGCGTTGCATTAGAAGAAAACTTAAATCTGACTCCAGAAGCCATGGATAAGAGTCTCAATCTTTTTTTCAGGACAGCCTTTCTCAACTGTGGCTCACGTGAACCACAAAACTCACAAAATGGCCACAGTGACTCTTTTTTGCCCCTGAGGATGCTACATAACTAGCACTATTCTAGATGCACAGGAGGGTTGACAGACTACACACAGTGCTTGATTGAGGATGCTGAGGCTTCGGCCTCTCCCCACCCCAACCCCTCTTGGAAGACCTGGGGCTGGGCTTGGCACAATGCTGCCTGTCTTCCCTGGAAAGCTCATTTTCCCCAGCCTTCTAAGGACAGCTGATAAAAATCTCTCCCTCCCTCACCCATATTTGTTCCTGGAACACCATTCATCTGTTCCTACTCCACATTGTGCCGACACACACCCAGTAGTTCTGACAGGTGTCATCTTCTCTTGAACGGATAGCTCGTGTCTCCTGAAACTTGTGTGCCCGTTTCCTCTGGGATCGCTGTGAAGTGCATCGCCAAGAAACACAGGTCCCTAACAGGATTCTATAGCAGTAAACCTTGACATTTTTTCTTTCACATGCGGACCTCTAAAAGTCCTCTGGGTCCCTTGCAACTGCCAAATGCCTCTCCTTGACAAAAACCCTAGAATTATCTGGGCACTTAATCTAAGCATGTCATGATTTGTGCTGCTGAGGCTTCTATAAATGGGTGCTGTAGGGCTGAGCAAATCTGCCTCACTTGGAGTCCTTCCTATTTCCTGTTGACAGGGCTCATGCTATCTCCCAGGAAGGCACCATGCACCTTTTTGGGGGGTGAGGGCCATGATATCTTGTGTGTTAGCAAGGAGGAATAATATTGGGTAGGCAGTTAGCAGTGTCTACCACAATGCATATAATGGAATATCATATAGCCATTGCTTTTTGAAGAATATTTATTGACATGGGAAAATGCTCACAATATGTTAAAGAAGAAAGCAGGATACAAATCTGTAAATACAGTATGATCCCAGTCTTGTAATAAAATAAATTATATATGCATAGAAAATATACAGGACAGAAATACACTAAAACATTAACAGTGATTATCTTGGTGGTGGGATTTGGGTGAATTAACTTTAATTTTCTGCATTTTCCAAACTTTTCATAATGAACATATATTACTTTCATAATGGGAGAGGTGGTGGTGGGGAGAAGTCCATACAGGTGACACCTTACACCTAGTACTGGGAGGCAGTGAGACTGATGTGGTAAGGGGATACACTGTACTTGTACCGCCTCGGGCAGTGTCACTGTTTATAAAGGAGGGAAGTAAACACCTGTCTCCCCCCTCCCAGGACCACTGGGTATGGGAAAGGGGCCCCAAGCATCTGGCAGTTGTTACTCTACAGCAGCAGCTCTAGTAGCTTATTTTAGTACATGCTCGCATGCCCCGGAGCAGCAGGGCTGTGGACATGAGGGACCACAGAGCACGGATGGCCACTGTACCCTCCTCATCCCTACTGTGGGCCACCTCGGCAAGCATCTGTCTGGGGGAAGTCTGCAGTCCTGGTCTCTCACCTAAAGAATTCCAGGTCCTTGTTTGAAATCCAGCCCTGAGCAACTCTTTCACTCACAGATCAATTCCAGGTTACCTCCCTGCTTACAAAGTTCCTTAAACTGGTTCTTCTGACGTGGTTATTGCTTAAAATGGCCTGAGAATGCCTGCCCTCCAGCACTCCAGGGTCCTAGGAGGCACGGTGAGGACCCAGGTGGTCAGGGTGGTGAGGGGAGGGAGGGAGGTGCCAGACTTGGACTCCTGTTTGCTAGGACACTGGGAAACTGAGGCCTGCCAGAGAAGATCTCTAACAAGAGATGAGATGAGGTTACATGTCATAAGAGACCTGAAAAGCCCAGCAGGTAGAAAGCACTTAGCAGATGTTCATTCTCTTTCCAGGGGCAAAATGAGGTCCTTCCACTCCCCCTGCAAATGGTCTCTTCAAAAACAAAGCTTAGTGCTTAGTACCCAGTGCAGGGGAAACTCAAAGTGAAACTAACTCCTTGAAAGCACAAGAGCACAGCTACTTAACCAGGACTGTTCAAACACTTAGCCTGCATAAGCTGGCAAGATGCTATTCCAGTAAACAGATCTTCATTTAGGGAAGCTGACACTTACGAGAAAGCTATTGGACTGTAGAAATTATAAAAATACTTTAAAATTCATTTGTAGAATGAAGTAACAAAAATACTTTGTCTAAACTTTTTTTCACATAATCTAAATTTATGAATTGCCAAATTTCATTTTATTTAGTGTTAAAAATGGGCCACCTACCACTTTTCCAACTATCTGGATGAAGATCCTAAAGGGAGTGTATTGTATTCTTTCTAGCCTTTTATTCTGGAGTATTTTGGATTTACTTAGGTTTTTAAAAATAAACTCTGGGTCCTCTCTGTGAGAATTTGTCAATGGGCCATATTGTAGGTACAGATCCTTCTGGGCCAACCAGTGTCCTCTGGGAACCAGGCTGTCCCAGACTTGCGATGCCTGGTGTAGATCTCCTCCTCCTCCCTACCTTCCTATCTGGTTTTCAGCTGGCCTTCAGTGGCTCTTGGTAGACCTGCCTTCTATCAAGCAGCCGTCTCCTCTGCCATTTTTTTTTTTTTATGGGCTTGAAAGCCAGATAACCTGCTAGAAACATGCAAATTTTAGTAAAGAGGTGAAAAGAGAGATTCTTGAGGATCTCTCCTATGAGCAAGAGACTCTGGTGATCTCTTTTGGCAGCTCAAAGGCCTTTAAAAAGTCCATTTTTGAACTGTTGTTTTGTCAGAGAAGGGATCTCTGAATAAATGACATTTTCCACTAATACTCTGTGTATGTTACCTATCCTTAAAAGGGCTACTGTGGTAAGGGAGGTAATGGATGTGAAAGCACTTTAGAAAAGCATAAACTCTGAAATATTGTTTACCCCATGTATCTATAAAGAAACACACACAGATGGCTAAATTGAATCAACCCCAATGTTTTATTTAATTTAAAGTTTTAAAAGGCAGTGGTTAAGCACATTATCTATGTGTATATATGTATATATGTATGTATATGTATACATACATACATATATAATAAAAGGAAACCAACCCCTTTCAGCTTTAGCCACTGATTAGCTAGGCCCACTGTCTATTGCAGGATTCATATTCTACTTCTTCATATGACCAATTCTAAAAGTAAAAATAAACAGCCTTAATCAGTTTAACAGTAACTATCTGTGTTTCTTTTTTTTAAATAAATAAAGTTACCATTAAACTGATCACATACGATAGAAAGTAGAACACACACACAAGCGCACACACAGTCCCCAATTTAAAACCTGTGACATATGAATGACCTATATGTACAAATGGGTGCTGCTGACTTCCTCCATCCCTGGCGGAGGCCACGAGAGAACTCCCAGTGTGCCGGGAGACCCCATCCCCTCTGCTGGGTTGGAGGATGTGTGTTCCTGGCACCCCGAGTTAGACCTCAGAATGCATGCTCCCATGCAATGATACAGATGGGGGTTCAGTTCTATGCTACTAGTGTTAAGGTACATAAGGGAATAAATAGGCATCTGTAGCTGCCTCAGAACTAAACCATCATTTATAACCCTTTATAGGGAGAAATGTATTCTGAAGTTCTCGATAAGGGACCTACAAACTTTTAGAATGTAATCTGTTTGTAAGTCTGGGGCTGTGTGTGTGCATGTTGTGTGTGCATTTCCACATATTTGTACAAAATTGAAATGAAGAGTGGGGCTAGGTTTATGGAGCAGCTGCTTGGCTTCCATGTAGTCGGTCCTGATCTAACAGGTCACTTGCCTCAGCCCTTAGCAGCTCGCTCTGCTGCCGACGCGCCTCCGTCTGCTGGAGAGATTCAGAAGGGGCAGCTTTCACAAGCGAGAGGAAGGCCACGACTCAATCTTCTAAGAACCTTTGCAAACAGAACGGCCAGATTCAACTGGGGCTGCTTTACAGGATGAAGTCCTGCAGTTCCATCCTGATGAAACGGAATTCCTCTTTCCTGTGGTTAGCCCTTGCCACTCCATCTACCTGCAGCTCTGGACGAATGCCTCGGTATCGCAAAAACACAGGATCACCTCTTAAATATGCTGGATTCTCAACGAGTAAACCAGTTAATGTGTTTCTAGCCAAAGCAAGGGCATAAATGTTTTAGAGAAAAGACTCCCCTGGAGCTACAGAGAAAAGATGCTAATAAAAGCAGTACTGAGTGCTGGGCAAATGACGTTCTCAGTCTGTGTCCGAGCTGGTCTCTTCGATGACAGAGTACTGGCTGAGGGCCTCCTCCAAAGGCGTGATTGTCCCATCGGGCTTCAGTCCCATTGGTTTAAGCAACTCCTCTCTGGAAAAACAAGAGAAAAGAGAGAAAAAAAAAAAAAAGTATTCACCAGCATCACACACACACCCCTTCCCTCCACCCCAATCCACATCCTTTTAAAAAGAAGAGTCTTTAAAAACCAAAGTATTTTTCCTCAAGCTCTCTGTGTGTTTGTAACAGGAAAGATGAAAGGGGCATGGAAAGAAAAAGAGGGAGATAAAAGACTTCATTCACACAGGCCAAACCTACTAAGCCAATTAAAAGTATGAAAAGTCAAGGTCTAAATGGGCTCAGGACAAGGAGCAGGTCTCTTCTGTTTTTAATAATTAACTTTTTTTCCTTTTGTGGATTCATTGTTTTAGTGAAGTTGAAGCTGCCAAAATTTCACGGGTCCCAGTGGGCCAGGCAGACAATCAAGTGGATGATTTGATACGTATGGATTTCGTTCAACGGAATAAATCTGTCACATTTGATTTTGCCTCTCCAATCTCTAGCGAGACATAAGTACTTCTTGATTCAATCCAAGTCAACTGGCCTTCCCCAACTTTCTCCCTCCCTTTTATTTCCTTCTCTCTCTCTTTCCTCTTTTTTTTTTTTAAACACCATTGCTTTTGTTTGTGGTAGTTTAATTATAGGATTGACAGCCATTTTAATCTCTTCAAAGCTCCCCAACTGCCTCTTTTCAGCTAATCCAATTATATCTACTCCACAAGTTACAGCCTCATCTAAAGATGATTAATTATTGATTAAGTCAATCAAAAAGCATTAGGAAAGATTTATTTAATCTTTTCATAGGCTCTTATTTATTACATGGAGATTATGGCAAATGTACCTGTTGAGTTACTAACTCTAGCCCTCCTCCCACCCCAAAAATGTCAGCAGTGCACTTTAAGAGTAGCCTCAAAGAGGCACATGAGAAATAAAATTTATTTCTCAAGGAAATGGGCATCACCCCCTAAAAACATGTCTATAACCAAGAACCCACATGGCAGCAGCTGCAATGTTGGCAGGATCTGGAGTGAAGGGGAACAATAAAAGCTGCTTTCCCTCTGCCTCCTTGCTGTTGTCCTTGAGGACAGCACAAAGAAGGGCTCCCTCCTGGGGAGGGCCAGCCACACAGCACTGTGAGGTGTTAGAGGCACAGTGAAACTCCTGGGGAGAGGTAAGAACAGCTCAGAGTTCCCTGGATCAGACAACAGGAGCCTAATCAAGCAGCTCTGGCTAGCGCAAGAAGATGATCCGAGTAATGGGGGGCTGCAAGGCTATGCCAAGGCTCCTGAGTTATAAAGGAGATGTTCCTAGTCCAAGAAATGGGGTCAGAATCATAGAACTTATAATTGAAGGGGCCTCAGAGATCATTTAGTCCAACCCCCTTGTTTATTAAATAAGACTGAGTGACTTACCCAAGGTCACACACCTAGTGCCAAGCTCGACCTGGGACACAGGTCTTCTGAACCTTGGGCTTGTGCTCTTTGCAGTATACCACACCTGGATTAACTGCCCTAATGGCACTGCAGGAGCAGACTAAGTTCATCTGTTTAACGTCTGTTCAACACCTACAGGCCAGGAGCTAGGTCATAGGCCAGGCAGGGAAAGGAAGAGTGGGCACAACAGTCCTTAAGGAGCAGGTGAAACCATATGAAAAATAACTCTGTACATAATGGGGCAAATGCTGTCACAGAATCTGACAGCATGGTAGCTCGTAAGACGAAGCACAGACTGTACTGCCTGGGGAAGGTAGGCATGGCATCTCAAGTAAGTTATCTAATGCCAGGCAAAGAAGGCATAGGAGACTGTGTAAAGGGCTCTGTATGGTCCCATCTACTTGTGTGTTTTGTATCCCTCTTTGGATTGTGTCCATTTCTTTTCTATCTCTTTGCTTCCATGAAGCTCGGAAGGGCCCAGTGTTTGGAGAGTGGTGAGGGTTAATGAAGGAGTAGCAGGAGGAAAGGCTCAAAGGTAGTCTGAGGTCGAGTGGGTAAGTGTCTAAAATATTATGGTAAGGAGCTTAGGTTTTGCCCTGTAAGGGACATCCCATCTGTTGCATAGGGCAGTGTCTCTGGCAGCAGTGTGGAAGGCGCACTGGACCAGGGGGATCCTGACGGCAGAGAGACCAGTCATAAGGATGTTACTGTACAGTGTATGTGGGTTGTGGCCTGCTGGAAGGGGAGAGGGCTGGTAAAGGATAGAGTAGGGAATAGACTGTCCCTATGGCTTCCAGCTCAGATGACTAAGAGGATGGTGATAGAATTCACTGGAGCAAGAACACAGCAGATGAAGCAGATTTTGGAGGGGAGATGCTGACACCTTTCAGGACATGAAGAGCTTGAGGCCTTTGCATGAAAACCAGCTAGACAATCTGGTTCCATGAAAACTTCCATCTAGCACTGATATAGTCCACATACCTATAGTTTTACAACCTAGTTCCCTAGTTCTAACTGCTCATGTTAAAGGATTTTGTGACACTGGACACTACTTACTAATGACATAAAAGGAAAAAGGGATAATCGGCTGGGACTAAAACACTGAGTGAGGGTAAGAAAGTTGAAAGGTCTAAAGGAACCCAGTGGATGAGGGTAGGGAATCAAGGATCGGGATAGGTAGAAGCAGGACCCTGGATGGGACTAGAGGAATTCTACTGAGATTGGTGATAAGATGCTGGGTAGATAGGCCCCTGCCCACCCGTCTGCCCCCACTATCAACATGACTCTACTTCTGTGACAACAGGATGATGCTGGGCAAGCTACTGGCTGTAACAGAGCAGTTAGCACCTTCTCCAAATGTAGGAGTAATATTTTCAAATCAAGTCCATCAGTTTCATCCCTATTCCAATTTCATGATGGAAATAATTAACATTAGTTTCATGGCCTGATTATAGGAACTTGTCTATGAGATAATGGGCCCCATATTTTAATTCTCAATTGTGAAGTATGCTTCTCAAGCATTCATTTTTTAGGTCCTTTTTATCACCCTTCCACTAACATGAAAGCTCCTCTGAGGGCTCCATGGAATGCCTGGCCTTATTAAGGACACCTCGGTTGGAGAGATGCCAGTGGTAACTGGCCATAAATCATGCATTTATACAAATTAATTAAGGTATCAATGTGATACAGTGTAAAAAACAAAAATATCTGGAGTTAGGAAGTCTTTTTGGAGCCTTGGCTCTTCCACTTACCAGTTGTGTGATCTTGGGCAAGTCTGAGTCTCAGTTTCCCTATCTGTGAAATCGGGATAATGCTAATACTAGCTCTACCTACTTCCTAGTGATGATGTAAGGAGTAACTATGACAGAACCAGTGGTGGTAGCAATAACAACAATGATGTAGATCAAAGAGTTCTATGAACTGCAAAGGTCCTAAATATTAGTTATTATTGTGGTACAGTGAAAAGCACATACAGGTTTTAGAGTCAGACAGATCTAGGTTCTAACCCTGAGTCCACCAGTCACTAACAGTAAGACCTTGAACTCTCTGAATTTCAATTTCCTTATCTGTAGAATTGGGATAGAAATACCTACCTCATCGAGTTGTCATGAAGGCAAAAGGCCACTATACACATAAACTGTAGTGTAATGGCTGGAATGAAGCTGGAACCACAAGTTGCATTTCCTGTCTTTATGTGCTTATGGGAGGCCTCCCCAAGCTTGATAGGGCACTCTGGGAGTAAGTGGGGGGATGAAAATGCAGAAGCAAATAAAAGACATGGTCCCTGTCCTCAAGAAGCTTTTAGTCAGTTCAGAAGATAAAACACACACACATTAAACAATATTAAAAGAATTACAGAACAGCAGATCAACAAGCTTGAGATGATTAACAGGCAGAGCCCTGCTTTCCCTAACTTGACAGTTCACCAATAATATACTCTTATTGTAATCAAAATATGTTTAAAGGAAATTTGTCCTGTTTGGGAGTGGAAAGAGAGAGGATCTCTCACAGCTTTATGACTGTGTTTTCTGCTGGACTCCAGGCTTGTCACATTCCCATCTCAATGTTTCTGATCTTGCTCTCTATCATACAACAGCCCACAAATACCCAAATGAAATCTTTGATATAGACACTCACTCCTAAAAGGTCTGATGAATGACCTGGTTATACTAGACTGTTTTATTTAATAAGATATTATATCTAGATCAGCAAGATGTGGATGGAGAATGGGAAGCAGTAATGAATACCACAGAAATGTTATTGCACCATCAACTGGGCTATGTACATGTGGGAGGGACACAGGAGGAGGTGGGGATGCTGATCACAGGCTCCTCGCAGGAGACAACTCAGGGCCAGACTGTAATGGCAGGGATGGACATGGATTCATGGGGATAAAGGCATCCTAGGAACAGAAGAATTAGTCAAGCAAAGGCACAGAAGCAAGGGTTAGTTGTGTGCAGAGACTGGCAAGCAGGCTGGTTTGGCTGAGATAAAGGAAAAAGAAAGCTCAAAACAGATATGGGGTACAAAACAGGATCTGAATGGAGACTTTGAAATCCTAGGCTGACAAGTCTAGATTATAGTTATAGAGGTATTTTATTTTGGTCTTCTATTTCAAGGGTCCCCTATCTAAGAATATTTATTAAAAATAATTCTCATTACAAAGTTTGAAAGATATGAAACAGTATTACCCTGACATTAAAAAGAAACTGTTCTATGCTTTACGTATTCAATTTTCATATCTCTATGTGTCTAGCGCAGGCGCCTTGCCAACAACAGGTTCTCAGTGTTTATGACCTAAATTGAGTTGCCGTTGATATTATCTTGTACTTTCACAAAAAGGGAAGGTATAGTGTTTTATGGGACTCAATAAATAAACCATGATCAAGAGAAAAGCCACATCTTTGAGTGGAAGATTCACTTTCATCATCAAGATCTACAGAGTGAGGAAAGGTATTAGCATTCTATAGGAAATTCTGAATAATGCTTTCCAGGGATTTCTTGTTCTCTGGTAGACGTGAGCAACTTGAGGGCAGAGTCCATGTCTTATCTGGCTATGATCTGCAGTATCTAGTATAGGCTGGGGGCACATAGTAGGTG